AGCCAATGACACGCGCTTATCCATCTGCGCCACTGGAGCTGATGTTTTATAGCCACTTTTAACTAAATGTAAATATACACTCCGTATTTTGTATTCCATAGTAAGGGCAATTCATACAATACATTTAAACTAAGCTACTTTAATACCATCTCCGAACTTTGTACCACGACTCTGCTGTTCTTCGGCTGGTTCTTCCTGTATACTTTGATTGACAGATGTCTCGTCCAGTCAGGGGTGAGTAATCCCAAACCAATGGCGCTGTCTCAAACTATACCTACCTCTTCCGGTTTGTCTGATTTGTCGTTGTGTTTTCTGACTTGTTAATTTGTTTTCGGATTTATCGTTGTGTTTTCTGACTTATTTTGTTTTCGAATTTGTCATTGTGTTTTCTGACTTGTTATAATGTTTTCTGAATTGTTGTTGTGTTTTCTGAATTGTTATTTTGTTTTTTAGACTTGCATTTGCGTTTGTAATTTGTTATTTTGTTTTCAGAATTGTGATTTGTTTTGCACTTCTCGGCCACCGTAGTTAACACTAAAAATCCTGATTTGCATGCAAATCTGAGCACATTTTTACTCTTGAGATTACTGGGACCTTCAGGAAAAAATCTGAGAAGCAGGAGACAATTAGAGATCTCATTTGTGATTTTCTTCATTTCTTTGCAGACAGAGATCACTTCCAGCTGGGGTCACTGTCTCATCTGCTGAACGCTAAAGCCGGCGGATACCAGGAGCTGCCCGACTGGCCTGAATCGGCGCCCGACCCATCTGTGCGCAACGTGGAGGTGAAGGATTCTGTGTGTGCAAGGCGAACAGTTCTGACAGGGCCAGAGGGCGCAGGGGTGCTTCTCCTACAGACCACCAGAGGGAGCTCCAACATGCAAGACCTCCCAAAGAAACGCCCCAAAGCGCTAACAAAAAAAAAAACACACTAAGCTCAATCACTTTTATATCGCTCACTTTCCTCGCTCATTAGCATAACTCCACCCTCATAACGCATAAATCACACAGTCTGCATTTCAGCGGGGTGGTAGCTACTCATCCTGCAGCCCGATTGGTTGATGTGTCAGAATTATTTCCCTTGGTAATAGAGTGCAACAGTCCAGGCTCCGGAAGTAAAAACTCCATTCATTTTCTTAATAGCAGAATGTGAGCTAAAAGGTTGTTAATTGATGGTATATGCTTTTGTTGAAGTAACGTTTAGATAATCATGTTTAACTGTGAAATTCTGATGGATACTGATGAAAAACTACATTTCCCATAATTCAGCAGAGAATCTCCACCAATCAGAGAATCACAATAAGGAAATCGCACCAAAAGAAGTATTGTGCACCCACACTCTCATGAAACACTGCGAGTAACGTAGAGTAAATATTTTTATGCACAATATGCATAGTTTGCAATAAATGTATAAAATATATAATTTGTTTATATATGTATATATATTTATATGTGTGTGACTTTTTAAAAAATCTCTATGGGAAAATTCATCCAGAACCAACACGGCAGAAAATTGCACTGTTGCACTCTATTAACAGCATGTCAAAAATGGTCATTATAGAGTTTAACTTGAACACTGAATATTCCTTCAAACGGAAATGATTAAAAAACAAATTCTAGAATTCTTTGTCTGAATGCTAGAGCTGAATGCTTTATTTGTGGTTCTAGAATTATTTTTAAATCACTGAGAGTTCTAGAACTGACTAGACCGACACGCCCATACACATTTACATATGCCACTCCTTCCTGATTAATATTCCATGATCAAATCTGCATATGCATGAGGTCTGTACCACACACTGAACGGTCAGGGTCTTGATTCCAGCTTCAGGTTTTTGTCTGCATAATCATGTTTGTTATTTCATAAAGCACTCATCATTCACAGCGGATTTCTTGTGTCTTAGATGGGTGTGTTATCAGTTTTATCCCCTCCAATGTTCATCCACATCCCCTTTCTGACAGTCTGTCTGTCTCTTTATGTTCCCACCCACCATATTATGCAGCAAGAGGAGGTCATATACATGGTATGTGTGTTGGAGCAGGATTGGAACTAAACTCTGCGGGACTGCGGCCCTCCAGGAATGGAGTATTCTATGTTGTTATTGTTATACCTGTGGTGTGGAAGTCACTATTGTCATATAGTTAAATTTATCTCTCATATAGTTACAATTTATTCTCTTTATAAAGTTATTGTTCTTGGTATGAACGTAACACTTTCAGTTGCTTTGACTGAAGCTGTTAGCGAAATATGGACGTAAAACGCATCCAAATACGTGCTAATCTGTTGACAAGTGCAACCTGAATCCTTGTGTGTACTTTTTAAATCTTTTTCTTTCTTTTCTGTTCTGTTCTGTTCTTTTCTTTCCTCTTCTTCTGGCCATCTCACAGCATTATGTTCCCACCCACCATATTATGCAGCAAGAGGAGGTCATAGACACCAGTGAGGGCCGAATGGGTCTCTTGGGAGACTGGAGAGAGGTGCCCGCAAGAGTGCAGTGGCTTCTCTCTCTGTCCTCTTATCTGTGTAGTCGGGTCATCTGGCTCGACCTTTTTGCACTAAAGTGTGTGTTTTTGTGTCTCAGTCTGAAAGCTGCTGACCTCATTTCCTGCCAAGCAAACCATCACATCGCTAAACCTTCATATTAATGTTGCACTTCCATTACTGTGACACCAAATGCTCAGCAAAGCATTAAAACATCATCCTAATACAGATTTGTTATTGACATATTGAGTATATGATTAGAGACCTTCTGAAAGTTCTAAACTAAGGGGTGAATTCACTAAACAGACACTTTTGCGTACGATATTTCAACGCAAACTAAACACATGCTAATTTAATTAGCTGCAGTCTCCGCAGCTGGTGGTAAACAGAATTAGAGAGATGTTTGTGAGCATTTTAATCAAAGGAGTAATATCAAAGAGTAATATAACTGACCGGAATAACAGCTATAGCAATATTGTACCGTCCCAGTAAAGTATGTCAAATTATGCGGTTGCGGTTGCAGAATCTGTCACATTCATACCCAGCTAACAAAAGTATGTTCTAAGAAAGTTTTGCTAACAATTTACTTATGAAAACGCTATTTCTGATGTTCTCTGAACATTCAAAACATCCACTTTTTAAAATATTTTAAAAACTTTTTTTGGTTATACGAACATTGTTAAATGTAGTCGATTTGAAAACGTAATTTGAAAAACGTAAGACAAACATCTAACTGAAACATTTAAGGAAAAAAAGGTTCCATGAATGATGTATAAATAACATTTTTGTGCTAACGTTTTGAGAACATAAATGAAGACCAGATAACTTTAAACAAACATTCTATTAACGTTACTGGAAGAGGGTTTGTTCATAATTTCAAGAGAACCGTGCTAGAATGTTAGCCAAAGTTCTGAGAACGTTCCCTGTTAGCTGGGTAATTACTTAATACTTAATAATAACCCAAAAGTTGTGCTGTGCAGATTAATTTCAGCATTAAATTTGTGGGCATGTTTATGTGGTTACCTAATTTGCATAATCCGCATTGAAAATAATGACCGCTAAATTGAGCGAATTTAGTAAATTGAACACTAAAACAACACTGACAGATGTAAATAATGCTATTCATTCTGAGTGAATTCCCCCTTAATTGCCCGTTCACACTAAGAACGATAACTATATTAACACCCACACCAATGATTTATTAAAAGCGTGCACTGCAGTTTTGTTGTCTGCCGCTTTAAATGCTCACCCTCTTTAAAGTCGGATGCATTCTGATTTGCTGTCGACGTTTTTATTGTTCAGCAGCTTGAAAAAAATTGTCCAATGATATTGTTCTTTTATGTCAGGGGTGTCAAACTCAGTTCCTGGAGGGCCACAGTCCTGCACAGTTTAAATTGAACCCTAATTAAACACACCTGATCCAGCTAATCAAGTCATTTAGTCTCATTTGAAAACTACATGGTATGTGTGTTGGAGCAGGATTGGAACTAAACTCTGCAGGACTGCGGCCCTCCAGGAATGGAGTATTCTATGTTGTTATTGTTATACCTGTGGTGTGGAAGTCACTATTGTCATATAGTTAAATTTATCTCTCATATAGTTACAATTTATTCTCTTTATAAAGTTATTGTTCTTGGTATGAACGTAACACTTTCAGTTGCTTTGACTGAAGCTGTTAGCGAAATATGGACGTAAAACGCATCCAAATACGTGCTAATCTGTTGACAAGTGCAACCTGAATCCTTGTGTGTACTTTTTAAATCTTTTTCTTTCTTTTCTGTTCTGTTCTGTTCTTTTCTTTCCTCTTCTTCTGGCCATCTCACAGCATCATTCTTGCGTTTCTTTTTATTCTTTCCTGTTTGCCAGGTTATTAGGCTGCTCGAAAGAGTCACCACTTTAACCAGCGTGAGTCTGTCAGTCACCCTTAGCGTCAGAGCCAAAGAGCTTTTGCCACCAGCCTAGCGTAGCGTCTGTACTGTGCTAGACCAGCCTTTCCCTTTCCTCAGCCCTTGCTCTATGATTAAAGACCAGAATCCTCAAAAACACCCCAGAAATGGCCTACAGCACTGGTGCTAGTTACTAATCGCTAATTTACGTTCTAAACACCACACTGATTCTAGCTTAAAGTCAAATTAATCTTGGGTAATTCAGTGCTGGTGGTCTTTGGGGTCTTTTTTAGGATGTGATTTCTTTAATTAAATGTTTAAGCGTACACAACAAGAATGAAAGTGGCCATGAATGCACAACCTTCCCTGCTGTAGACCTCAAACGCTGAGTGAAGAGAGGCACAGCTCTCTAGAACTGTAATTTTATTAATGTATGAGTGTAAACAAAGATGTTAGCTGCTTGTAAAGAGGCATTCATGGCCGTTATATGAACCTCTTTCTCTGATTAGGTCCTCCATATGTACTTGAGCTTGTTTTGATGGTGTTTTGCGGTCCTTTGCAGATTCCAGATTGGAGCAAATGCACAAGCCGGAAGGATCGTAAGGAGAAGAAATTAGATAAACCATTCTACTCAGACTCAGAAGGAGAATCTGGTCCAACCGAATCAGCAGATAGCGGTAACTGTGGCGAACGCTTTGACATTAGCATGTTGCTAAGCTAATGACTCTATATGCTAAGAAGCACAAGAAATACAAATAAATAATAAAATTTTAATTAGATTCCTTATCAGTTATTTTCATTAGTGAATAAAAAATATTTCAGTTTAAGATGAAAGTATTTTCATCACCTTTTTGAATGAAAATTTACATTGAGCTCATTACAATGCTAATCTTAGTCAGTGCTAGTTAATATGATTTTGCTCGCTCACCTGACAGAATCAGATTCAGGCAGCGGTTCAGAAAGTGCTAGCGCCAGTGATGAAAGCGGTTCCGGTTCAGAGAGTGAAGAGAGCGGAGAAGAGACTGAGTCTGAGGAGGAAGAGGAAGATGAGGAGAAGGAAAATAAAAGAAAAAAGCGTCTGGACAAGACCAAAGCAAAGAAACCAGCAGAGGAGAGCGCAGAGAGGTGCGCCATCCACACATCATACCAAATCAATGTCAATTATAAGTTCTGATCAGCTTGTTTCGCCAAATGTCTCATGATCTGCTCCATCATTCCCACAGCGAGCAGAGCAGTGGCACCGAGGACAGAAAACGAGGCAGGAAGGCAGTGAAGAATCAGAAAAATGCCTCAGAATCAGAGAGTGAATCAGAAAGCAGCGAATCAGAGGACGAGTCGGAGGAGGAGTCAGAGGAGGAGTCTGAGTCCGACACTGACATCAGGAAGAAGAAGGTTGGGCTAGATTGAAATAGAATACTAGAATACGTAGTTAATACTGTGCATTATATACAGCATGCTGCCTGTTGTTTTTTTTAAATAATAAATTCAACTTAAAAGTAGTATGCTACTGTTGTCACATGAGCTGCATAGGAGATAAAACAATGCAGACAGTGTGTTAATAAACAGTGCTATTATGCTATTTTAATGTTAATCTTATGGATAAGAGTTAACGCAAGACTTTTTCTCATTTCGCTCAGACGCCTGTATCAAAACAACCTCCCAAACAATCCAAAAAAGAGAGCAAGAAGGAGACGCAGGAAATGTCTTTGCTGGATCTGGATGACTGTGAGTAAAACCTCTTAACACATACAAGATCAAAGACAAATGCTTGAATGTAAAAGTACAATTTGTCTTTCTCTCTCCCAGTTGAACCGACCCCAACATCGGCTCCAGTGACTCCGGTTAACTTCTTGTCCAGTAGTCTGGTGTCTGATCTGGAGGGTTTGTCACTGACCGACACTATTCTTGCACCTACAGTGAGTTTTGGGCCAAAGTACAATTGTAAATTGAAATAAATACAGCAGAAATATTGTCATAATCTAGGGTTTTCATTTTAGATCTGAATCTGCAGAAAAAAGTTATTTTCCCTTTATAAATTCATTTTTATTATTTTCAGAATACAAAAAAGAAAATCATATGCAATGCAAGATTTAAAGTTTCTTTTTCTAATTTTTTCCCACTGGTAATTTTAAGCATAAACATTTTGTTATATTGCTCCGAAATGTAATATTTAATATTTTTAAAATGTTAAATATTGCATTTCAGACCTTTTTCCTCAGAACTACGAAATACAAACTCATAATTGCAAGGAAAAAGACAGAAATGTGAGAATAATTAACAATTACATTTTTTACATTTTTAATAGAAAGTTCAAAACAACAGCAGTTACTTTAAATATAAATCTTTTGTAACATTATAAATGTCTTTACTGTCACTTTTGATCAGTTGAATTCATCCTTTGCTGAATAAAAGTTTTTATTTCTTTCCAAGAAAATAAAATCTTACTGAACTTTTGAACGGTACTGGATAATATGATTGATTTGATATAAATAAAATCTCTTCTGTTTTCTCACAGACAATTGCTCCTTCTGGTTCGATAAAGATGTATGAGCTCCTACATCGTATAACAGGTGAGGGTCTTGCGGTTGAGTATTGCTTCAGCCGGCAGCCCTTCAGTCCAGACCCTAACATGGTGGCCGTCCAGATCCAATTCACCAACAACACCAACTCCGAGACCAAAAACCTGCACATCGAGGAGCCTAGGCTGCAGTCTGGGATGAGGATCCGAGAGTTCGCTGAGATAGGTCTGCAACCCAGCACAGTATGAGATTTTCTACACAAGCTTTTTCTACGACTACTTTAGGTTTATTTTTGTTCTGTTTGCATTGTTCTTTCAGAAGTGTTAGCAGCGGGTGAATCGGTTACTGTGGTGATGGGCATAGATTTCTGTGATTCTACACAAGCAGCAAACTTCCAGCTGTGGTGAGTGTTTAAGAAGAGCTAAATTATAAACTTCTATTTCCTGATGTCCACTTGTTAGCCATCTCAGTTAACATCAGAAAATTCCGAATTGTCCCACAAGGATCTGTCTTAGGCGTTTTACTATTTTCAATATACAGAACTTTCACAGAAAATTCCAAATTAACAATCCCATAATGTTTGCAAAATAATAAAATGATTGGTTCTTTAATGTTCTTAACATTTGGAAGGATCTGAGAAAATTCAGAAATAACAGTTCCATAATGTAATGGTTAGCAGTAGCAGAACATTCTTAGAACATATTTTTGTTAGCTAGTTAGTCACCTTGACATTAAATAAAAATAGAATGGTCCATTTATGGTCGTAATTTAGCTTTTCATGGCCATTCATCGCCTTTACAATGAAATGGGCTGCATATTTCTTTATGTAAATCACCTCCATTCATATAAATCATATAACAGTTTCTTGACTCCAATTCCAAGAAACTTTGTTAACTTTTTTCAGTACTCACACCCGCAAGTTCTTCGTTTCCATCCAGCCGCCCGTCGGGGAGCTAATGACACCTGCATTTCTGACAGAAAACGACTTCAAGAAGGAGCAAGGTAAGAGAACGTCAGCCCATCCTCGTTTTAGCACTCCCAGTTGCTCTATTGATTGCTCCTTTTCCTCAAAACGCCTGTCATTTTCTTCCTGTGTAGCAGTGTCTCTCTGAAATTCATTTTCAACAGTTGATATGACAGAGAGAGAAGTTATGTCTCTCTTTCATTATTCATGAAATATTAATTTCATGTTTCATGGCTTTTCCTAATCTGAATTCTTCCATTGTGCACTAAAACTGCATATTTTCGTAACCAGAATTTTGGCTCTTGATACCACAGACCCCTTTCTTGTGTACTGTTAACATTTGCATGCAAGCATTAGCTTCTAGCTAAACTCATTAGCTTACAATTCATTATTCACCACAGCGCAAAGTGTTGTGTAGTATTCGCTTCAAAAACATGTACAGTATACTAAGAAAATCCACTGGAAGTGGAAGTAGTACCATAGTAGTACAATTTTTAACATAAAGCGGGAGGCAAATCTGAATCTAGCATACATTATAGCCTGTAGTTAGCATGCTGCTAACTGCTCAGCATAAACGTTTGTCAGTTTAGCATTTTAGTGTATTTGTTTTAACATATTAGTTTAACAAACTCATGTTTTCCTCTTCCGTGGACTCGTTTTGCCGCTGTTCGTTAGAGAATCTTTTGAATGGTAAGTTTATCTGATGTAGCTGATTAGCATAGCTCCTCCTCTTCCCCTATTGTTCCTGATTTGTTTACACAGACACACACAACCAGCTAACAGAGAACTTTGGCTAATGTTCTGGCAATGTTATGAAAAATGTTCTTCCAGTAACGTTACTTGTTTAAGTTATCTTTAATAATGTTCTCAAAAAGTTAGCACAAAAACGTTATTTATATATTGTTCATGGAATTAATGTTTTGTGAAACATTAGTCTAACATTTTTTACATTTGTTACTACCTGTTTGAGAACGTTCAGAGAAAATTCATAAGTAACATTCCCATAATGTTTGCTAAATGCTAAAATTAAATGTTCAAATAACAAAGAAAAAAATATTTTTCAAAGCATTTGAAAAACTGGACGTTTTGGAAATTCAGAGAACATTGAGATGTTTTCATAAGTTAATGGGAATGTTAGCCAAATGTTCTTGGAACATATTTTTGTTAGCTGCACACCCCTTCCTGTTATTCTAGAAATGCTTTTGCTTCCAGCTGCTCCTCCCTCTTACCGCAGTCTCCAGCCTTGGCGACTGTTACCATGACTATGCATTTCCTCACGGCATGTCAAGGTAACATTATGCTGCATCTAGGAATGTGCCTTAGAAACACTGAACCGGTCCGATTGACCCTGAACCATCACAACACTCGTGAGGCCAGCACGCTCAGCACAGCTCACAAAACCTGTTGTGTACTGTCTACATAGACAGCTACCTTCCAAGGTAGCGGTATTAATAAATTGAGCTTTTAAGTGACTGAATTGAAACATTTTTAGTAGGCTGCAGCTCTGTTAATGCACAAGAGACCAGACAGACGTTCACTGCTGAGTCCAATACTTTACATTAGCATGCGGCTAAGCTAAGAATGCAATAAATGTAAGTACATAGAATTATTTTCAATTTATGCTTTTCAGCACATAATAAATATATTTCGAATTTTTCCTACACTATCCATAATCTTGGTTGACAATTTCAAGATGCTGGTTTGTTGCAATGCATTCTGGGCAGTGTTTCTATTGTTAGCTAAAACTAATAAAAATTGTTTTTGGGAAGTGAAATAAAGTGGAAATAAAATATAAATATTAAATGGAAAAATTTAAACTTGAAAAAAACAAAATTAGAAATGTTGCCTTGTCAACTAACTAAAGTACTAAGTACTCAAATTACTAAAAGATGATTAAAGATAAATATAAAATAATAAATGACGAAACAGCAAAATTGCTCAAGCTTAAATTAAAAATATATATTTATTTTTGTACAGATTTTGTACAGATTTACAATTATCTGCTTAACTGGTTATAAATTCTTTAAATAGACATGAAAGAATCATAGAAACCTAAACAAAAAATAATCCATATAAAAGCAATGTCGGTAAGTTGGAATGAATAAAATGAGTAAAACTAAAACTGAAATGAAAATGAATTAAACCTAAATAGAAATAGAAACCATCACAGAAATTCTAATGATTTCCACTACAAATACCATTACAAACCATCAACTTTTAACCATAAAACCATTATATATATATATATATAACATTTTTGTACATATTTACAATTATCTGCTTAAGTGGTTATAAATTCTTTAAATAGACATGAAAGAATCATAGAAACCTAAACAAAAAATAATCCATATAAAAGTTGTAATGAATAAAATTAGTAAAACTAAAACTGAAATGAAAATGAATTAAAGCTAAATAGAAATATATAAAAAAACAAAAGCTCATAAAAATGACAAACAAAATGACTAAAACTAAAAATCAAAAATAAAAGCTAATTCTAAATATTAATAAATACCTTACACAAATTTGTGTTTTACATAATATGTATCATTTTTTAACTGATTTTTATTATTATATTGGTTATAGATTCTTTAATTTAGTGCATCTGTTTTTTGTTTCTGTATATTGGATATTGGTTGTTTAAACAATAATAATCTGTATAAAAGATTTAAAATTTTCACTAGCTTTCAGCTAATCTGTAACAACACATCTTAGGACAGTTTGATGGAGCACTGATCTGACGAGGAGATGCTTTCTGTCTCTTTTCACAGGTAAACTGATGGGAATGAATGAAATCTCAGAGAAGTTGACGCTGGGAGAGAAATGCGTGAACGAACATGTCATCGTTGAGAGAGTCACGGCCACCGCCAACTTGAGCAGAGTACCATGCGGTTCAGATAAAGAGTGCAGGTAACATACACACATGAAGACAGTGGCCCTGTCCCAAATGAAGACTTTTGGAGTCCACAAAATCTTGCATAAACTGTTGTGTATGGCGTTATTTTAATGACAAATGTCGAGAGTGCATTATTGTAGCATGAAAGCACATTAATATATTGCGCGAACGCGAATCTCCCCGCTCGCACGCGGATTTCCTTTGCTCTCGCACAAAACCGGACGCGCTCAGACACACGCTGCTCTCGCCCAGAGAGTGTACGCGCACTTAAAACGTGTCTCTCCTCTCACTCAAACTGTCCTGTGCACTCGCAAATCTCTCTGTGCTCATGCGCTAGATATTAATTATTTTTGCACCTGAATTAAACGTTGTCAAATGTTATCAACCAATGAGATTTCAAAGGTGGATCTTGTAATTTCTTTATAATTTAATACTACTAAATCATAATAATCAAATATTAGAAATGAATCGGGTGCTTGGATTATTTGTAAATAATCTAGTTTAACAGTTTGGTCAAACCCCTCTGAGCGATTTATCTAAACACAAACAAAAAAGTAGGCCTATATGATTCTTAAAGTTCATGTGGTGTTTTCAGAGACCAACCAGTTGGACAGAGGTTATTTATAGGCTATGTACAAATCATCCAAGCACCCAATTCAGCCATTTCTAATATAGGCCACATTTCATTAACATTGCCAAATATTATTAAACTGGAAATAAATTAAAGATCCATCTTTGATTGTCAAAAGAATTCCAGGTTCAGTTCCCTCTCAACCAATTAGATTTCACATAGTATTTTCATCGGTCAGTTGTGGAGGTCTGATTTTTTAAAGCTTTATTTATATAGCGCCTTTTAAAAGTGTTTACCAGAGCAGCGTGTATCTGAGCGCGTGCGTCCGGTTTTGTGCGAGAGCAAAGGAAATCCGCGTGCGAGCGGGGAGATTCACGCTCGCGCATTATATTAATGTGCTTTCGCACTACAATAATGTGCTCTCGACATATGTCAGTAAAATAACGCCATAGTTGTGTAGTAAACAGCTGGGGGCGCTAGTGAGCACACTTTTGAACCAAAAAATGACAAATGGGACACCCAGTGGTCTTGTAGACAAAGTACATACTAACTGTGCTATTTAGTACGTAAGTTTTAAAAATCAGGCCTTAAAGGGAAAATTCTCTTATTAATTACTCACCCTCATGTCGTTCCAAACCCGTAAGACCTTTGTTCATATTCGGAATACAAATTAAGATATTTTTGATGAATTCCGAGAGCTTTCTGACCCTGCATAGACAGCAACACAACTACCACCAGGGACGGACTGGGAGTAAAAAACGGCCCTGGATTTTCTCCCAAATAGGCCCACCACAACTACAAACAGCCGCTACTATCTCACAATATTACAGCAATCCTATCGCATTTATGATAACATTTATAATAACATCACAAAACCCATGGTGACCCTGCTGACAAAAACAACAGAAACATCACAGAAATTCTAATGATTTCCACTACAAATACCATTACAAACATTACAAACCATCAACTTTTCACCATTAAAACCATTAAATAAGGGTTTCCTGTAGTGTGTTTTGGGACATATTTCATTAGGATTTAGTGGTTTTAACAAAAGCCACCAATAGAAGGCGACCAATTACCAGTAGAAACCATTAGGCACGATTACAGTTTCCATTAAAAACAATACAATTTTTATTATAACCAGTAAATCCATTACAAACTATGTGATGGTTTCTATTGTTTGTTTGTTTTTTCAGCAGGGGACTGAAATAAATGCATTATTGTATGAACTAAAATACTTGAAATCGACATAAAAAGAGCAGAACGCAAAATGTATAATATGATAATGATAAAAATAAACCTAGAGTCTAGAAACCTGAAACAACAGATTTCTTCAATTTGATTATTCATATGTGTGTGTGTGTGTGTGTGTGTGTGTGTCATGTTAATCAGACTAATCACCTTAGAGGCTACTTCATTTACTCTATTAACTCAGTATCTTTCAAATGTAACCCGTTGTAGAATCGCTGCAGTCTCTTTATGAATGAATGGAATATTCATGTCAGACAATGCGGAGTAATAAATAGAAGTGAACATTTGGACTAGGGGTGTCCTGGGATTTTACTATAGTGCTATAGGCCACATGCTCTATAGTGAGAGAGGCGAGCAAAAGTAACCTGATGTAACTGGTCGCTTTTTTTTTCTTTCTTCTTTTAGCTCCTCCCAACTGCCTTTATCTTCACATTTTTTTGCTTGCCATCATGAGCCCACTCTCTTTCGCATCAGTTTCTTATAAGCAAAAATAGATTGCATTAGCGCCCCCTTTTGTTGGCCGTCAACGTCACTTAATCTGAAACTTTTTCTTTGATGATGAGCCAGCCAGGCCGATGGCCATCGCGCCTCACTACCTCGTTCAAGGCCTAGAAAGATAGTAAGGACATTGTTAAAATAGTCCATGTGACACGAGTTGTTCAACTGTAATTTTATAAAGCTATGAGAATATTCTTTGTGCGCAACGAAAACAAAAATGACGACTTTATTCAACAGTTTCTTCTCTTCCATGTCAGTTTTCGACGCTCGTTCACGACAGTACTGATGTCACATGGCCTATTTTATCAATATCCTTACTACCTTTCTGGGCCTCGACCGTGGTAGTTCCCTTGCTGTCTATGCAGGGTCAGAAAGCTCTCGGATTTCATCAAAAATATTTTAATTTGTGTTCCGAATATGAACGATGGTCTTACGGGTTTGAAACGACATGAGGGTGAGTAATTAATGACAGAATTTTCATTTTTGGGTAACTATCTTTTAAGTAGTTCCAGTAAAGGCCCCGATATACTCAAAACAAAGTTCATTTTCGTTCTTCGTTTAGGGGTAAAACGAAGTTCGAAATACGTGAGCAGCGGCATACTGTTAGCGAACATCCCGATGCCGCCCACTCTGATGAAAGCAACGTTTATATGAATATGTAAATATGTGCTGCGTGCTTTCGTCTCAGTAACAAAATAAACATTACAAAATGGAGAAAACATCAAGTATTTTTGTTTATAAAAAGCATCTGTTCATAGCAACATGGGTATGCTTGCACACAGCTCTCAGATTCCATCAAAAATATCTTAATTTGTGTTCCAAATATGAACGATGGTCTTACGGGTTTGAAACGACATGAGGGTGAGTAATTAATGACAGAATTTTCATTTTTGGGTAACTATCTTTTAAGTAGTTCCAGTAAAGGCCCCGATATACTCAAAACAAAGTTCAGTCACGTCACGTGTATTTACATGGCACTTTATTCAATATATAGCTTAAAAGCAGTCAGCAGTATTAAACATGAAAAACAGTGTCAGTGTCTAATTTCATCAGAAGCAAAACTTAATTTGCTTTTATAAAGCGGCTCTTCACTGCGCGGACATCTCACCTCCAAAGACTCGACAGGCGAAATGAACCCAGAGAAGAGTTCTGCGTGAAAGAAGGCGGAGCCTACGCGCACACATCCTATGACGAAATCGTCACGGACCAATGGTAGTACGGTGTTTTGCAGCCACAACGAACTTTTCCGGAAAGTTCGCTTTGGCAAGCCGTTTCGAACTCAGTTCGTTTTGGCCAGATTTTGTTCGAAATGACGTCAAATCAGTTATTTCTTCGATTTTGCTTGAAGTATATCGGGGCCTTAAGAGTATTAGTTGTATTTTAGAGGAATTTGTATGTTCATGTATATTTTATGTAGGTTTGAGTAAAGGGTCCATTATTTGAGTATGTTAAACTCTTTAAATCTTTCTTTGCTTTGCTGTCTGTTTTTCTGGCCTGTGATCTTTTGAAATCTCAGTACACCTCCTCCTCCTCCTCCTTCCGCTCCTGTTTACAGATTCGCAGGGAAAACGGTCAGCAGCGGTTGTCTCGTGCTGGTCACCATTGCTACGAAGGAAGGCGGCAGAGCTCAGCTGACGGTGAACTGCGAGAAGATGGTGATCGGTACAATGCTGGTTAAAGACATCATGCAGGCCCTGTCACAGTGATGGCGCCCCCTACAGTCAACATCCTCCTACTGCTGCTTACCGCATTGATTTGCATCTCTGTGTAGATATTTTCCCAATGTGGACTGGCTTGTAGCATCAAAAATATATACTTAGAACTGACATCAGAACAGCAACAGTAACATTCACGGCCCTGTAATCAGGATGTTCCTTTTATTTTCCTCTGTTGAATGTTGCATTTCATCAAAGACAGTTAGTAAAGACAGTCTTTACACCATAAACTCTCCCGAATTAACGCACAAACCTGTGTCAATTTCAGTTTAGAAGCTCTGTAGGATATACAGTACATGGCTGACATTTTTTGGACACCAACTTGTATCCATCTGCTCAGTGAAACAAGACTAATAATCATCTGAGTGATTCATCAATAAAAACTCTGTGCGGTTTATTTTTAGTGTTTATCTTTCACATTTTCTGAATGTAATGTCTTACATCTGATGCCAGACCACATCCCAATGACGACAGCAGATTTGTTTCCAGAAACCACTTCAAACTGGTTTTGAAAACATGAACTTTGTTGAACTCTCTGAAACATGTTCATATTGGTTTCATGTTAGATTTAGCAAAATCAAAAGCTCCAAAACACATCAGTATGAATTCACCGTCTCATTCGACAGGAAATGTATGTCTTATCTGTATTTGCGAATGTGTAACTGCTGAATTTAGGATTATGGACTTGTGTATCACTCAACATTCATCAGCTTCTTGTTCTCGTGAAGCTTTCAGAAGAATAGAGTATCTCACAATCCGGTTATTTTAGATATTTTAATGCAATCTGGAGCTGTTTATCCTGGTGAAGACACTGTTGGTAGTTAGTTTTAGACCTTTTTTAGTTATGATGATGATGGCATAAACCAGATCTTCCTTCTCCCCTAGGTTCAAAATTAAATCCAGCTTTACTGACTCATCTCTGTGTGACTGTGGGAAATCATGTGTTGTTTGAATATTATATCTCTATTTATTATAAAGAGTTTTAAATGTCAATAAAAGAGAACGCACACTCAAATTAAGATGTCTTCTGTTTTTTATTCAACTTTGTATTTATATGGTTTGATATTTATGCAGATAGATGTGACCGGGTTAAGTTGTCACACTTTATTCCAGTTGGTTTATTTATAAATTTGCTAGTTGCATAAATTAATGTCTTGTCTACAAAAAGTAGGCCTAACTGAACGTTTTCGTCGTTATTGACAACGTTGACAGTTGTGACAACATGCCCCAATAGCAGTCACAGCAAACGTGTTATCGGCTTTTTTTCTGGTAAAACTAGTTTTAGTATCAAAATATTTTTTTCTCAATTTCTGATCACAAATGTTACAAAAAATTATACACAGACATTATTGTAATTAATAAATTATGGGGTGAGGAATGTTTAACCTCCCGTGTGACAACTAGCCCCGCTGGTCAGTGCGCGTGATTTGCTCGTGCTGGAGTCATGCACCTGTTTAATCCGAAAATGACTGAAACGTGCTCCGGTTTGAGCCATAATGTGTGGTTGAGCAGCAGTCTTACACTCGTTTTGAGTTCAGCGGCCTGAACTGTTTTATAAAGTCAAAGTTAGCGTCTTTTTGAGCCGCTCTAATGGATTTCTACAGGGTAAGCGACAGTCTATGTGTGGAAAAGAGGGTCTTACACACACTTTCAGTTTCAGTTTTTTAATGGCGCGAATTCTACATCAGCACCAAACATTCGCAGCTTAGCTGTGTGTGATGAACATAATGCAAACACAATGTAGGCCTACACCAGGGCTGTCCAAACTTGGTCCTGGATGGCTGGTGTCCTGCAGAGTTTAGCTCCAACCCTAATTAAACACACCTGAACCAACTAATCAAGCTCTTACTAGGCATAGAAACTTCCAGTCAGGTGTGTTGAGGCGAGTTGGAGCTAAACTTTGCAGGACACCGGCCCTCCAGGACCGAGTTTGGACAGCCCTGGCCTACACAAATTGAGACAAACCACAAAAGGCAATTTACTAAAGAATAAACAAGATGACGAGCATTAAGGCATAAAAAGAAAGAAAATAAGTAGTATCATTGCTGTCTAAATAGGGAGCTCACTAGGTTTTAAGACACACCATTGTGCCCTTAACATAAAGTGGAGTTTCATAGTTTGGTAGGTTGTCTCAAGTTTGTTTATTTGTAAAATCGAGGTAGAGCCAGACATCCTAGCAAGCTAGGCCTTCTCAAAAAGTCAAGTACAATAATGTTACTCTTTAGTTTACTAGTTGCAAACCGACTTAAAGGAAATGTTCAGCTAATATGACAATTCTGGCACCTATTTGTGCATGTACCATATGCTTCTTTTAACAGAGAGAGAAAACACACTGCAATGCTGCATATGGAGATCCTGGAGCTCACAGGCCCTTTGGGCTGTTCACAGGGGCCAATCCGCAAAACGTTTGGAAACATATCACAGGTGAGATCCACAAACACACACACACAGATTCCTGAATGTGACATTGAAATTAGACCGTAATTACCTGCGTAATACATGTTTCTGGTCTTATTGTGAACAATTCATCACTGCCTGTTATTCCTTCATTATCTTTCATCAAAATGTTAGGTCCCTTTAAGGTCAACATACACTAACAATGAGCAAAACATTTGTTACAGTATGTATTAATCTTTGTTAGTTGTTATTTAATAAAAATACAACTGTTCATTGTTTGTTCATGTTAGCTAAGGTCCATTAAATAATACTGAATAATTAGGAAATGTTGAAATTAACATTAACTAAGATTAATAAATGCTTTCGAGGTTTTTTTTTTATTGTTACTTTATGATAACAAATGTAGTTAACTAATGTTAACAAATGGAACTTTATTATAAAGTGTTGTTACCGTATATTAGGAATAACATACTCTGCAACACTGATAGTTTGATACTTTCCTCTTCTGCTGAGGCCACACAAACTATTAAATTATGTTAACCAATCTCCAAATAGATATTTAAGAATTGCTTTAGCATACCTGCAAACACTATTCATTATCCTTATGGTCACTATTCATAATTTTTTGTATATATGTTATATGCACTTTACAGTGTATGTATATACAGTGTATATGTGTATATATATATATATATATATATATATATATATATGCATATATAAAAAATTTTTTAAAATAATTATTAGTAATATATATAATGAATCAATTATTATTAATATATTACAATAATCTGACTTTAATATAAACTAAAATGCTAAATAAAAATAACTACTGTTTTTAACGAAGAACATAAATGTCTGGAATCACAACATAAATCATAGTTATTTAATAAAGTATATAAATATATCAACACCCAAAAGGTTTGTCATAATTACAGCAGAAATACTGAAAATATTGTACTCTATATGGAAGGGGGCACATTGCCTTTCCTTGGAGAATATACTTTTTTTAATATGTGGAATATGTTTTGTCAGAGAAATTTTGACTATCTGACTATATTTTTACTGGATATTTAGATGTGGGCTTGTCCAAAGTACGAGTAAAACTTTCACTCAGAATTTGCTTGTAAATTTCACAAATTATTACAAAGAAACAGCAAGTAACACATTGAATTAAACATGAAGTTTTGAAGTAGAAAGACTGAAACAGTATTTTTCATATTACTTACAGATTTGGAATTTTTTTTACAGTTTAATTTATTTATTTATTTTTACCACAATAATAGTTTGACATGAAAAAAGGGCAAAATTCGGCTGTTTGTTTTCAGATTTTTTGTCACATCGTATGTCAGGTGATCAGTTTAAAATAAATCTGGCTGCAAAACTGAGCACCAATGAACAAACACGGCAGATTTGACAATGCATAAATCTGGACATCATGTTTCATACTTTTGGACACACCTATTGTGGTGCCAGTGTTGGGGAAAGTTACTTTTGAAAGTAATGCATTACAATATTGCGTTTCTCCCTAAAAAAAGCAACTCATTGTGTTACTTAGTTACTTTTTATGGAAAGTAATGCATTACATTACTTCTGCGTTACTTTTTCTCATCTGGTCTGGGCTTGCTTGTTTATTTTTAATATAAAAAGGGTACTTTTGGACACCCCCCCATCACCTCACTGTGAGTGTGAACGCCCCTTTAGTCGGACACTAGAGTGCGTCTGGTACAGCCTGGGTTCAGCAGAGAGAAACGAGTGTGTGTGAAATCAAATGAGCTGAATCATAGTGATCACTGGAGCCCTGCCCCCTTCCTTCCGTCTGTCTCTCTGCTGAGTCAGGCCATGAACGGGAGACGGGCCAGAGAGACAGACAGTACACGTGATTCACACACACAGGGACGGGAGGTGGTGAGGCTGTTCTGGCAGACCGAATGTGTGTGTGATGGAGTGAGCATGGCTTTAGCACTAGCAGCAGTGTGTGAGGTTTGAGCGGGCCGGTCACATGTTTAACGGGTCAGTGATGAACACACAGCGTTATGATGAACTCCACTGGACCCACGGCAGGTCGGTATGGGAAACCAGGTTCGGTTGTGTGTCTTTGTGCCTCTGTAACTCTCTCTCTCTCTCGCTGTCTCATAGATGGTTCGGGCACAGACTGCTCTCCGCTGGTTAGCAGCATGCTGTTCGCTCCAGAGCAGCAGGATCCTCTGGCTGCCGTGCCCAGTGTTGATGAGCTCAGTCTGGGCCTGCTATCTCTGAGCTTCCCCTGCTGGAACCAGCAGCCCTGGAGCCGCCCCGAGTCCCAGCGGCCGACCCAACCCTGCTCCCAAACGCCCGGTGAGTGAACCTGTGCTTAAATGTTGAATGGCCGCTCCTATCTGTCTGTTCAAGCTAGTTTCAGACTGCTTCTCAGTGCTTTAGTCTTGATTATCTAGGAATATACAGATATATAAATAAAATATATTAGTAATTTTAATATAAAAATATAAATAATAAAATATTTTATAATACAGATAAGATAAAATATATAGATATCCCTTTAAACAAGATACATTTACTTGAGTAGCAAAATTTTGAAAAGAATTTAAATAAGAATTGACTATAATATATGTGTATATATATATATATATATATACGTAATATACATACTTTTATATTGTTTATATGATATCTATATACTGTAAAGTGCATCATTAATTTAATCTTTATTGAATGTATGATTTTTTTATGTAAATACTCTATGTAAATATATAACGATATATAATTAAAAATATAGAGGTTTTTATACTTAAATATAGATTTCATATATTGAAATATAGTAAACATTTTATATTGTTTTATAGAATATGTATACTTACTGTATATTTTTATACCGTATATTTTACTATATATATGTATATATATATATATATATATATAGAGAGAGAGAG